TTTCCATTGAATGATTTTTTTGAAAAACATATTGATATTAACTTAAGATTTTGTAATCTGTTAAATATTTATAAATATAGATTTTTTATTAAATATAAATGTAGATTTTTTATAAATATTTACTGATGTAGATTATTTATTCCAGGAGTTCGGAAAATACAACTGAGATAAGTTTTGTTTAGCAATAACGTGTTTCAAGTTTTAAATATTGATAATATGTTGTTTTAAATATTATTAATACTTTTTGGGACAACTACTTTCTAGCTGATGAATTAAAAATTTAAAAAAGATCTTTATAAGATTGTTATCAACTAAATTTTTTAAACACCTAACATGTAATACAATTTTTTTTTTTCTTTTCTATTGTTATTTAGGTACCCCAAGAAGACCTAACGGTCTTGTCGTTGACGACAACCGCTGACGTGCATTTAACTAGAAAGTTCACGCCTCCTTCCTTACCGTGACGCGAAAAAATAAAGCAGGCGCTCTAACCACTGCGCCACGGCTGCAGATTACAAAGGTAATACTCAAATAATACAATTGCAAATACAGTCGCAACGAGAAAAAAACAAAAAATAAAATTCTTAGAACTTTTTTCCTTTGCATATATTTTTTTTTTTCTTTAAGGTCCAGCACTTAATTGATAGTTTAATATTTGAAGATCCTTTTTAGGAAAAAAATCTTGTAAAACATTAGTTTTTTATATTCTCTAGATTTAGCTCATAAATCCGTTGACGTCTTCTTCTTCTGACGTCTTCTAAAAAAGGACGTGGAACTTTTTGGTTTTTCAACTACGACTTAACCATGTCGAATGTTTTTTTTTACCGACGAATTAATAAGTTTTTTTAACTAAAGAATTTTTAAATATAGAATTTTTGCTGTACAACTGTTAATATCATGGAAAGAAAATAATGATTGAATTGAAATTGAATATTATTTTTACTATGTTTGGAGTGCAATCCTTTAACAATTTTTTGCATTAAAACATATTTATGTTCACAAAGCTCAAAGCTATACGTTAGTGTCAGAACCAATGTTTTACACAACTGGATTAAAAAGTTTGGATGAGCAAAACGGATTCCAGATTGAGTTAAAGTTTGCATTACTTCTCGGAAATTTATTATTTTATAATTGATTGTTAAACAATCAAATGAGGAAAAAGTAAATATTTATTACTCCAGGTAAAGTCAAGATGACTAAGTTCATTATATAATTTTATTTGTTGTTTGTTTGAGTATCATTTTGAATTTTTAATTTGATTTTTTCCAGCTTAAATCTTATACAATTTGCTTTTTTATACCTTATAGGTTCTTGTTTTGTGTATACCTTATAGGTTTTTAAAGGATGAATGTTTTGAAATCAGCATACGTTAAAACACCTATGTAGTTTCCATTTATTGATGTACCTGCAATATTTTTATTTTGAATGATTTTGAGTAAGTTTTGTGTGTATATAGTATACAGATGAGGCGACAGAATAGATCCCAATTTCACTCCTTATGTTAGATAAAATGAATATGATTTACAGCCTTGATTAGAGACAGAAGCACTGCTCTCATAATATAATTAGTTAGTATTAAGAATATTTAAGAAGCATGTTGCTAGTCTTATCAATTTTAAAGACAGATTTACTCATCCCAGGCCTCTTTTATCTGAAATGAAAATTTTAAATATATTTCAGCTAAATGATTTTAATACTCTTTCTTTTATGTACAAATGTAAAATAAATTCTTTTCCAGTTTTTTTCCATAATTTATATACCTTAAAAAATAAAAATAAACACAATATGAGAAATGACAATTTAGTTCGGCAACTTTTTTATCAAACTAATTTTGAAAAAACAAACATTGCATTTCGCGGAGCTTTTTCTTTGGAATAAGATAGTTTTAAAACATTTTGATTTTTCTCTGGAAGGAGTTACCTATCATTTAAAAATAAACTTGAAGAAATAATTTTGTCTCTGGATAATATATTTTTATATTTTTAAACGTTTAATAATTTCATGTAATATTTGATGTATTTATGCTGTAAAGTTTTAATAGAGATATACAACTATATTTGAATATGATTTATTGAGATTGTAAAATACGAGCGGTTCTCGATGATAAGACCTGACGGTCTTCTGCAAGTCTCCGCGTTCTTTTTATAAAATTAAATACCTGTATAACTATATTATCGTTACTTAGTTTTTATTGAATGATTTTATTATTTAAATGTTAGCTATTTTATTGTACAACGATTTACTAAAATGTTTTAGAAAAGAACAAAAATAAAATAAAAAAATAAAGCGGTTTTTTATTATCGTATAACTGTATAGTTTCTCAAACAGAATGTTCCAGTTACATTTGTCAAATAGAATGCTCAGGTTACAGCTATCAAAGAGAATGTTCCAGCTACAGCGTTCAAACAGAATATTCCAGTTACAGCTGTCAAACTATTTTTCAGCATTTAAAAAACTGAGACAAAAAGATGATTTATCGTTGTTGTAGTGTTTACTTGGTTCACTCATAACAAACCTAGCATGTAAAGTTGAGCTATTTTTAAAACCGAACTGAAGATGAACAAACTGAACTAAAGAGGATGACTTTTTGTTATCTTGAACAAATTAATAAAATTATTATTACAGTTAATTATTATATGATATTCTATTAGTTTCAAAAAACTGGTTTGATGTTGATACCGCTGTAGTTAGTTGAACCAATAAAAAAAGTGTATACGATTTTGCAAGTGGTTTAATAAGGGATGTAGACATACATATTGGGTTTCTCCATAATTAATAAAAAAGAATTTCTCAGCCAAAAGCCTTTGCGCTTTACCTGGTATCGGAATCAAATTTTAAAGTAACAGATACAAAATCTTTGAGCTTTTTCCACCGCTAGGTTGAACGAGAGGAAAAAAAAAACATTAAGAACATTGATGGTTCTATAAAGAGTTACTACTTATTTAGCTGAATAGACGGCTACCGAATTGAGTGAATGATTATTTGTTTGTTCGTTTAATGATGTACTTTTTGAGAATCGTATATTTAAACATACATGTTTAAAAATTGAGTGAATGATTATTACAATTCACAAATATTGACATGATTTTTTGATAATTCTTGTGTCTGGCCATAACAATAACATTGTGGCCGACACATTTTTAAATTCATTTTAATTTTCTGCAACTGCTTCAATATTTTTTGAAGCAACCGAGTACGTACGCGATTTGATTATCACTCATTTTATCTCTTCTAAAACTTGAACTCTTTTTTTTTTACACGAGCTTATAAAATCAATATTTTGTTATGTAAGAGAGAAATGTCGAATTAACTTAAAATGTTTTTGTTTTTAATGTTTTGAAAAATTTATGCGTTGAAGAGAAAATAGACCTTATGTAAAGATATGTTCTTTTAAGACAGGGTCAAAACTAGAAGTTAAACCAAATGTTGTTTTAAAACCTGACAAAATGAAATTCCGTGGTCTCGTAAATCCAGCTTTTGTGTTGTATTTGATGCAATTTTCTTTTAACTTTTATTGAAGTTTAAACCAATTAAATCTCTATGGTCAAGTGAATTTCTATAGATTTTTTTTCCACTGAGTAAAAAAGCACTGCCTTTAATATTTTTAATTTTCACAAATTTCATATTCACTAAGAGAACACTCAAACACCTGAGTAAACGAGTGTTCCCTCAGGTGACCGTGAAAGTTTTTTTTCATCGCTTAAACCCTCTTCCTTGTCCCAAACTAGATTGATTATCGAAGGGGGAAAAAGTAGACAGGAAATAAAGATTTTTTTTACTTGTTCAGCAAAACCTCTTTCTAATTTTTTCAACTAACTTCTGTTCATCGATTGGGAAAAAAGGATTTTCGGTGTTTTTAATTACTTAGTACTAAATGTTTTATTATCTCTGTTCTCAGCGTATTAATTACCTTTCCTGACAAAAACATAAGAATATCGATCGCCATAGATAAAGAGAAGTAGCATACTTCCTAGAATTAGGATTCTCTGAATACCTTGTCCATATATCTTCAGAAATCTTTTCTACATCACTAGATGCTGTAACAAACTCTTTCTCGACTGAATTTAACCCAGCATTTTCCAATTCTTTATAATTTGCAGAATTTTCAGGATATTTGGTAGTCATGTTTCTACTTGATTTTCTAAAAAAATGTCTTAATATTTTACTTTTTTTTCCATAAAACATTTTCGAACTGCAGCTTCTTAAATGAACGTTACATAGTTCTTAAGTACCATTTTCTAAGGTATAAAAAACGAAACTATTATTTGTAACTTGCAATTTGAAAAAAATATTTTGTTTTAAATAGGAACATTTTTCAATAACAAAATAAAATTTTATAAACATGATTAAATGTAATATTCTTCAAGAAGGACATCTTTGGACAAACGAAATCGAGCATTATTTCTTGGGGATTTGGATTTTTCTACTCCTACAATCTTTTATATACACATTTTTTAAATTTTCGTATCGGTACGATAGGCGTCATTTCACGCACCCCTTTGGTTTGTGCCTGTAATGTAATAATGTAATCTAGTTAGCGCTGTTGGTGCGTACCATGCTTGTCATACTCTAGCCAAGCCTGTTTGTTATAATTTAAAATGTTTGAAATGCCGGGGCCAACTTGTTTCAAAATGTTTTAAATTTTTGGGAGTTAGTCCGTTTTGCTACATTAATTTGCAAAACGTTTGAGATACACTATACAATTTTCATTTATTAAATCACTTCGAATGCTATAAGTCAATTAGATGTCTCTTTTTTTATATTCGTACACCGTGCAGTTTTTTTAAATTCATTTATCAAAATGGTTGATTTGATTGAATGGATGGTTAGATAGAAATAATACATTATTTGTTTAAAATCATATATTGAGCTTATATGTAAAAAAAAGTGTCTAGATAATCCTATTAGAAACTTTTTTTTGATATCGAAATCTTAAGGTAAGACATTCATCTCTAACTTGACTATATTTGCTTTAAAGATAAAATTAAAGACTATAAAACTTTAGCAATATATATATATATAAAATTTTTTACAATAACTTCTTCAATATTATTAAAAAAAAAAAAAAAAAAAAAAACCACACCCCCAAAAAACTCATTGCAAATAGAGTATTGTCTCAATAGAGCTGTTTTGTGTATCTAAAAATAAAAAATCGTTTTATTTATGCAAAATATTGAATGTTAACGTGAAACAATATAATCACATTTAAAAAATCTTACGAGTGTAAACCATGAACTCCGCCTTCTTTTTGTGCTGAAGGAGTTCTTCGTTCAAACTTCATCTCTCCACTGTACATCATTGACCTAATATAAACATACCTTAGTACAACTTTATGTAGCATCTATTATTGTTTTAACAATATTGTTGTTTTTATAGTTGATTTTAAAGAAACTTATCTAGTTTAATCATTAAATAATGCAAAAAAAAAAATTTCTTTCAAAAAATACGCTTTCTAAAAAAAGTCGCTAAATGTTGCTGTAATGTGGTTGTAAATGTCGTTAAAATTAAAAAAAGATTTTTAAAAATAAGTGTTAATAAAACAACCTCAAGCTAGTAAGACTTTTGGCGCCAATGTCTTGACAACCATGTTGAACACCAGCAATTAAATATGGAATAAATTGAAACAAACTTCCCTTATCTTGAACTGTACCTGATACGCCTTGGGCAACTTTAACATTTTTCTTTTCTTCTACAAAGTATCTAGTTTGACTACCTTTACTTTCCATTGCACTAAGAGACCCCATACCCCTATAGTTCTTTAATCTGACACCCTCTGCATAAAAGTACTCTCCAGGTGCTTCAGAGCTTCCTGCTAACAATGATCCCATCATAACAGCAGAAGCGCCTAGACTCAACGCTTTAATGATGTGTCCCACATTAGCTATACCGCCATCAGCGATACACGGAACATTAAAACGACGAGCATACTCTGATACTTTAAATACAGCTGTTGCTTGAGGTCTACCAACAGCGCATACTTCTTGGGTGATACATATAGAACCACTACCCATTCCTATTCTCAAACCATCAACACCAGCATCAATAAGGTTTTTAGCCTGTGCAACAGTGACCACGTTCCCGCCAATAACTTCTAAAAACGGATACTCACGCTTGATTTGTTTAATTCTCTCTATTTGATAGCAAGAGTTTCCTTGAGAAGAATCCAATACTACAACATCAACACCAGCCTCAACAAGTGCAGCTAGACGAGGTATGTCATCATCATGAGTACTTATAGCTGCACCAACTAAACTTTGAAAGATATTTTAATGTATTAATGTTAAATTAAATAACCTTTACAGATAAATAAGTAATCAACAGCATCAATATTTTTACACCCGTAATCTTATTTTTCTTGAAGGGATGCTTATAATTTTTAGCTGGTTAAATTTATCAGGGAAACTTGAAGTATATCATTAAAAATACATGTGAAATAATTTTTTGCTTTTATTTAAAACATTGGTTAAAGGTACAACTACATAAAACCTTTGTTTTTGTTTGAATAAAGTAAATCATTGAACATTTAACCAAAAAACAAAGTAAAAGTGCTATGAAATTCGATAGCACTTTCAAAAAAAGCTCATATACAGAAAGCAATACAAAAAATTAATATTTACAGCTAAAATTTAGTTGCTAAAAGTAAACTTTTCAAAGCACTGGAGCCTATTCTTTGTTTTGAAGACTTTGTCTTTACATCGTATTTTAGAACTTTTAACCAATTAAAAATACAATAAATACAATGGCGTAGGAAGGTCAAGAAAATTGGAGGGGCTGAAACGGAAATTTAGAGTGGCTAAGGCAGCCAGAATCAGAGTTTGAATGGAAAAAGCATAAATTTTCCGATCATCGCTCCTCCGCCCCCTGTTCCTACGCCAGTGATTATATAGGGATCTTCCATAAATTCGGCAACGCTAAATTTATTTAAAACGTAAAAGATCATTTTGCTTTTTGCGCGGCAATTTTCTTTGAAGTTAAATCGCTATTCTAAAGACTCTACAAAGAAAAACTTGTTACCCTTTTGTTTTGTTTACTAATTAAATTTAGCGTTGCGTAATTATTGGAAGACCATATTAGGTAATGCAAAAAAAAATTTTTTTTTGATACTCATTTATATTTCAAAACCCCAAGAAATGATAAGCCCTAGTCCGTGACATCAGAATCATCAAGAGTTACAACAAAAAAAAAATATTGCAGCATTAACATCAACAAACCTAAAAGTTGTTTTTTTGAATCTTTTGAAGCAAGAGGAAAGTCACGATTTTTTTTTAAATCTGTTCGTGATATAACAGATACCAATTTTTGTTGATCATTGATAATTGGAAGTTTTCCTAAAGCACGAAATTTGAATATTATAAATATTATAAAATATTAAATATGTAAATTACTATAAATATTTTATATATTAAGAATTATTATCATATATAAAAATAATACTCGTGTATGTTAAGAAAACAGCCCTCAGAATTAAAAAAAATAAGGTCAGCAATAAATAGCTAAAAACTATTTTTGATTGGCATTAGGTCGCAACAAAATTTTAACACAAAGGTTTCACCATAACAACATAAAAAACGAGGTCGGCAAATATTCGCAGACCTCTGATCGAATCTAATTTCTAGGGCTGAGAATAAATATTATTATAAAGTAATTTTTACTAAGCTTTATTCATTCAGAAAAAAATTAATTTAAAAAAGAAAACGTTAAAATAGTTACGTTATTTCTTTTATGTATGAGTTATTTAAAAATGACTAACTAATAGTTAAAATGATCAACCTTTTTTGCTCTGGGCTAAAATTTCATTAGCTTGCTGCAACGTAATTCCTTCCATAGCAACAATTAAATCTTTTCTTTTAGTCATTACCTAGAAAAAAATTTTTTAATAATATAATCAAAGGCTATTCTAGCTTTATTTTAACAGAGCTAAATGTATTTGGGCAGAGAACTCAGTAACTTATTGTATTAACTGTTCCAGTAATTTGTTCCCGCATTTTGTCCCAGTATTTTGATCCAAGAGTTTGTTCCAGTAGTTTAATTTATTTATATGAATATAAATAGGAAAAGATTATTTTCAAAATGCGGTATGAGCAACTTTAATTTTTCAGAAGTGGCATAGTGGTAGAGCGGGTGGGGATCAGACTCAGAACTACTTGCTTACTATGTAAGCAAGTAGTTCTGAGTCTGATCTCCACCCGCATCCCTGGTAGTAACATGCTCAACTTGTTTCTCTGCGCAGCGACCTTGTTCATCAAGATTTGTATTACGGAGTTAAAGAAAGGGTTGTAACCACAATAAAAAAATAAAAAAGGTAGCTTCCTCGACCGCAATGCCCCCTAACCAAAGATGAATAACAGTCATGTGTGTGTGTGTGTGTGTGTGTGTGTGTGTGTGTGTGTCACAGGTTTAGAAAATATAAATACCTCACAAACAGGTGTAGAAAAAGCTTCTTTTTTAACAAAATCTATATCTCGATTTGTCAGCATACCAAGTAACTCCCCACCAACCTTTCCATTATCTTTACAGAAACAAGTATATATAGGTAATATCAAAAAAAAAAAATTACCAATTCTACTATTTAAAAAAAACATAATAATTATAAAAAAAATAATCTATAAAAAAATTATAGATTAAAATTATAAATTACAAACCTGCTGCGAAGAAAAAAAAAGTTCCCCTATTTAAAAAATATTATTAAACAAAACATTTATTTGTTTTGTGTCAATTAAATAACCTTAACTAAACTCAATCAGATAAAATATTTTTGCCTAACCAATACAAAATGCATTTGAAACTACGTTAAGATCTGATAAGTGGTTTAGTTTTCCATAATACAATACTATGGAATAACCAAATATTTAAAAAATAAAAAAGCTATCTTTATATTTGAATAAAAATGTGTAAAAATTCATGAAAAGTTTTGTAAAAATCAATGAATATATTAAAAATCTAAGTTTCAGCATAAATAAAGCGTGTACACAAAATAAGTGTGAAAGTAGAAAAACAACTAAAAAAAGTTACTTATCAACTTTTTTTAGAACTAAGTTACAATTTTAATATATTAATAAAAAAATAAATCAAATCCTCCTATTTAAAATTAAAAAAATAATTTGCTATTTTAGACACAACTTACACGTCATTGCTATTTTAGACACAACTTACACATCATTTTGTTTATCCCGTCCCATAGCCAGTTTGCTATAATGACTGGATAATTTAATACCATGTGATTTAGAGGTAAAAGACGTTTTTGTAAACACTCTTTAAAATATTTTAAGTGTGGAATCAGAAATATAGGGTGCTGATTTATTGTCATATCTGAAAAAAAGCTTGTCAAATCAAGGCATTTTTAGCAAATTTATCATGTTTTGTGTATTTTATAAGTTTTTTAACTGCTTTTCCTCTATATTTCAGCATTATAATAGACATCACCAGGAATTTACTGATGATCGTACTTCATAAAAGTTTCATCATCTTCGATAATTCAGAAATTTTTTGAAATATAATTGTAATACAACTTTTTTCAGAAGGTTCTCACATTTCTTTTTTGAATTTCAGAACGGTTAAGCACTTTTTGTGATTTAAATTTGAAAAAAAAAAAAAAACATGATTATTTTGAACTTTTACAACAAAACTATAAGAAAATCCTTTTGCACGCAAATATTTGTGCAAAATATTTTTTTTAACGTCTTCTTTTGTCATTTTTAAAACTTATTTTAAGTTAAATAGGAAATTTTTTTTTTGAAATAGTAACATGTTGCCAACAAAAAAAAAAAAATTAAAAATATATAATACAACCACTGAAAAAAAAAAATGACATGTTTACTTTTTCACATTTATTTTGTGTACACACTTTGTTACAACAGGGTAATTCCATATGAAATCATACAAAAATAATAATTTTCGACACCCTTATGTTTCAGAATTTGTCCATAATAAAAAAATTATAACTGCGAAAATTTTAGTCAAAAATCACATGGGTTCCAGAGATATCATCAGTTGAAATAATGCTGACTCGGCATTTGAGTGATTTTCTGAAGCGACTGTAAAGCAACTTTGACATAAAGTATCTTCATAATGGCTTGGGAAAATTTCCTAAAATTTGGTACCCCAATAGGTTTTTATTTGAGGAATCCAAAAATAGCACCCTCAAGACTCGATTGTCTCAAGAAATGCCTTGTTTATCCAATTTTGTTCAAAATTATTGACTTGTAAATTAATGAATTTTGGAGGTAAAATGAAGACTGTGGCCCAAAATCCTGAGTAAAAAGTTTAATTGTATATCATTATTTCATCTTAGGTCTACTGAAAAAAAGTAGATTCATCAATTGTCTTTCTAATACTTGATCAAAGTTTGCATTTAAAAATGGTGTTTTTTTAGAAAAATTTAAATTTTGTAACAAAAACAATTAAAATATTTTTAAAAACATATATTTGAGTAAAACATCAAATAGTGTTATTTGTTGACTAGTTTAGGACATTTACAGTCATGGTTCAAGGGGGGTCGAGGGGGCCTTGGATGAACTTCCTCCCCCTCCATCTCCCTTTTTTTTTTTTTTTTTTTTAAACATAAAATACAATTTAGAAACATATTTTTTTTTGTTTAAGTTTGAGAAACAATTTATTTTCATTATTTCAAATTGGTAAATTAAAACCTCCTATTATATCAAAAACAAGCATAATTTTGTTTGTTTTAAAGATACTTAACTTATTTGTAATTTCCTAAAGAATGACTGTGAATTTTATATATTTTTTCGGCAGGTAATAAATAATAAAATTATTTAATATGGAGAAATGTGACATTGGAAAAAGTCTTAACATTCATTGCCACAAAACTGGATTTTCTAGAAAACAAGGTTTTGCTCAATTTAAAGATCTTCCTTGTGAAAAACAAAAAGAAATAATATGGCGAGCAAATTTAAAAGAAAAATGTAGTTTAATAAAAATTATATGTTGTTACCATAAGCAATTCTATGGAAAATATTTTGAGAGAAAAATTACTAAGTGCTGCAATCCTTTAGAAATACACAAGGAAAGTAAAAAAATTGCTATAAAAGGTAATCTAACTTTGTTTACAACAGAATTGATTTGGAAGTTAAAAGAAAAACAATTAATCATTTATAAAAATTTTTATATTTTCAGTTATTTTAAAAACCTAAAACTAAATTTTCTTTTTAGGTAATATAAAGATTTCCATAGACATGGCAAAATTTTTGCAAGAAAATAACATTTAGGTAACCCCAGGTTAGAAATTCTGCAGTAAATGTTACAAAAAAGCAATAGATACTGAAGAAGATTTAAATTCACAGGAGGAATGGGAATCAAAAAGTGAGAAAAAAATTAAGTTAGACCACTATAGAATTGCTTGGTACCACTATAGAATTTCACCAGTCAAACAAAAAAGTCTTTCAAAATACAGCAAATTGCCTTTAGCAAAACAAAAGTTTAAGAACACTATTGACAGAGTTGCAAAAATGGTCTCATTAGCATATAATATTAAAGAAACTTCTTTAACAACAGAAATAAAAAGTCCTATTTTAAACAACAACATTAACAATGACCATAATCTAGACACTTTAATGTATGAAATAAAAAAAAAATTTCAGAGACTGACTCTTATCGCCATAAGGTGCAAATGTTAACGCTCACACCAAAATCATGGACACGTACAAAATATCCAGCTACTTTGAAGTGTCTGAGTATCTTGCTCAAACGGCAAGAAAAGTTAAAAATGAGCATGGAATTCTATCATTGCCTGAAAAAAAAACTGGAAAACCACTATCATCAGAAACAGTTAATTTAGTGATTAACTTTTATCAAAGTGACGAATTTTCAAGAATGATGCCAGGAAAAAAAGATTATACAAGTGTTAAGAAAAACCAACATGTTCAAAAAAGATTATTGCTACTCAATCTTAATGAATTACATGTTGCATTTAAAAAAGACTACCCTAACGTCAAAGTCAGTTTGTCAAAGTTTTGTACTCTTAAAACCTAAATGGTGTATTACAACTAATGCATCAGGTACCCACAATGTATGTGTATGAATACATCACCAAAATACAAAATTTCTCATTGATGCCATTAGGTGGAATAAAAGTTATAAAGATTTTACGGCATTGTTTGCTCTCTTGAAAATGCAGAATGTATGTTGCATCGATGTAACCAATGTCCTGGTATTGAAGCTTTAAAATATTTTAAGTGCAGGAGTTTATGGACCATGAGCTTGAAGAAGATGTAGCATTCAAGCAATGGCAGAGTACCGATCGTATAACACTATTATTACAATCATTGCCACTAGATGAATTTAATGATTTATTATGTGACAGCATTGATAACCTTACCACTCATTCATATATTGCAAAAACACAAAGTAGATACTTAAAAAACTGTAAAGAAAACCTCAACCAAAATGAATGCTTAATTTTAGGAGATCTTGCTGAAAATTATCAATATGTTGTTCGGGATGAGGTTCAAAGTTATCACTGGAGCAAAAGTCAATCTTCACTTTATACAATTGTACTTTATTTTATAGAGAATAAACTTTTCAAACAAATCTTTTTGTTACCTTTCAGAATATGTTAACCATGATACAGGATTTATTTACAAGACTCAGGAAGATATAACTAGATATATTAAAGAAAATCTACATGACGTATCAAGTGTGAAATGTTTTTCCGATGGTTGTGCAGCACAATTTAAAAATTTTAAAAATTTTATTAATCTTTGTCATCACAGTAAAGACTTTGATTTAAATGCTGAATGGGTATTTTTTGCTACCAGTCATAGTAATTCCCCTTGTGGTGGTATTGGTGGTATTGGCAGATTTTAGATGTTAATTTATTGTACTCCTTTTGTAAAGCCAAAATAAATGGAATTTGTTTTAAGTTATCTTTAAAAGAAGAAATCGACCAAACACGATTACAATTAGAAAAAAGATATTCAGGTGGAAGAACTGTTCCTGGCACAAGGATGTATCATCATTTTATTCCAATTGCTCCAACACTATAAGTTATAAAAAAACAAGTATTGATACATGCACAAGTATTGATGCATACACAAGCACTGAAATATTTGATATCATTTCAAATAGAAAACATCATGTAGAGATTTTATTAAACATTAAAAAAATACTTAATTTCTACGCCCACAACAATATCAGGACGTACGTACAACATATCTGATTTAGATTTAGAGAATATAAGCTGTTGGTTACAAAAAAATTTAATTACATTTAAAATAATTTTGTTTTTATTTTATATACCTATTTTGCATTTAAAATTTGTCTTTTTTCTTTTTTTCTAATCCTTGGATTGTAGGCTGAGAAGGTGGGGGTGGGGTTTAAATAAATCCCCATCTCCACCTATTATATCAACTAGCAGTAAGCAACCCGTAATACGCGTTGTTAGTAAATAAAATTAAAAAAAAAACCTGCGTATAGAAAAGCCTAACAACTACTTTAAAATAGAAAAGCCTCAAAAATGACGTAACATAATATTAAATTAGCGTATTCATATTATCAGATGACTATATTAGTCTTGAACTACTAAATAATACCATAAAGAAATTGATTGTTAAAATGTTTGAAAAAAATTTCAATATTTTTTGTTTTAAAATTAATGACTTTTTAAATTGTGAAAAGATCTTGGAAATAAGAGGTATTTATTGATTTGAAATAACTAAAATAAATTGTTTCTCAAACTTAAATTGAAAAAAATTTGTTTTTAAATTGTAATTTGATAATTTTTTATTATTTATTCAATTTATGTAAAAAAAAAAAAAAAATCTCGGTATATGGGGGAGGGGGCATAGGTCAATCAAGGCCCCCTGGACCTCCCTTGAACCATGGCGATAAATGTCCTAAACTAGTCAACAAATAACACTATTTGATGTTTTACTCAAATATATGTTTTTAAAAATATTTTAATTGCTATTGTTACAAAATTTAAATTTTTCTAAAAAGACACCATTTTTAAATGCAAACTTTGATCAAGTATTAGAAAGACAATTGATGAATCTACTTTTTTTCAGTAGACCTAAGATGAAATAATGATATACAATTAAACTTTTTACTCAGGATTTTGGGCCACAGTCTTCATTTTACCTCCAAAATTCATTAATTTACAAGTCAATAATTTTGAACAAAATTAGATAAACGAGGCATTTCTTGAGACAATCGAGTCTTGAGGGTGCTATTTTTGGATTCCTCAAGTAAAAACCTATTGGGGTACCAAATTTTAGGAAATTTTCCAAAGCCATTATGAATACACTTAATGTCAAAGTTCCTTTGTAGTCGCTACAGAAAATCACTAAAATGTTGAGTCAGCATTATTTCAACTGATGATATCTCTGGAACCCATGTGTATTTTTGACTAAAATTTTCGCAGTTATAATTTTTTTATTATGGACTGCAAGTGGTGTAAAAATGAACAAATTCTGAGACGTAAGGGTGTCATGGTCTGGATGATTTGATATGGAATAACCCAACAACAACACAACATTAAAAACACTATAATATATGTATGTATATGTAATATATGTATATATATATGTATATATATATATGTAATATATGTATGTATATGTAATATATGTATGTATATATATTATATGTATATATATGTAATATGTAATATATGTATGTATAGTACTAAATAATACCTGTAATAGGGAAACCTGAAAAACCAAATTTTTTTTGAATGGCTTTTGCATCAGCAATAGTATGTGAGGGGCATAACACAATTGGATCTGTAATAAATCCCTGCTCAAATTTTTTAACTTTGCGAACTTGATTTGCTTGAAATTCTATTGTACAGTTATGATGAATAATTCCAATGCCACCTAAGAGCTGAAAAATAAAAAACTTTTTTTGTCAAAACTTTTGACAATCCCACACATTCTTATTATATTATCTCTACTATAATCCATTTAAATTTGGAAAAAGTTATTAAAATTTGTAAAAATATATACCAAAATTAAATGCATAATAAAATATTTCGCGGTTAAACCTTCCCTTCTGTAAACTTTTCTAATTTTAAAGGGAAAATACCTACAATTAAAAAAAAAACAATGTTCTTACTGCCATGGTTTTTGCCATCTCAAATTCTAAACAAAAGTATTTTAATGATTATCTCAAATTCTAAACAAAAGTGTTTTAATGATTAAGAAAAATAAAATTTTGTTTTAAAATATTAAGTTATTTTTTGGTGACATCATTATTATTGCATTTATGATTCATTTCTTGCTATAAAATTTATAATAATTTTTTTAATCAGGTCACAATTACATGAGTTTACATAATCAATAATATAAATAAATAATTGTTAACTTGAAATTCACCTGTAACTGTATCCATAGGGGAGCTGATAAAAGGAGTTTTCAAAGTAATCTTTTTTGTAATTGGAGTTTGAAGTTGCTACAACAAAAATAATGTAAATTTTTTTTTTCTCGTTAAGGTAAAAATCTTGCAAGCAACTAAGTTACCACAACATTAGTTGCAAGCCTCAAATGATACATCAAAGCATATAAACATAACACATATTTAAACCATAAAATGCAATTTAAAAAAAATAGTGCTTTAAAAAAATATACATATATAAAAATAAAATAAACATGAAAACAATACTACCAGTTTTATATAGAAAAATAACATCTCAATGATCTACCTATCTACATACCTAATGGTAAAACTTTCTACCAGGTATACCGGTATGAAATGAGAGTTTTTTGTGAAAATAAAACACTAATTATTAATGGGAAAGTATAAAACATTTTCTTCAAAGTATTGGCCATTGTTTTCTACACATTTTGACCACCTTTCTGGCAATTTGTGGATACCACACCAATAAAATTGTTCGTTTTTTAAAGCAAACCAACCAGACACCCAATTTTCGACCTCCTCGTAGGAATCAAAGTGCTGCTCAGCCAATGCGTGTCCCATCGATGAAAACAAATGGTAGTCGGAAGGAGCCAAGTCTGGTGAATACGGCGGGTGGGGTAGCAGCTCCCAACCAAGTGTTTTAATTGTATCCTGAACCGGTTTTGCTTTGTGTGCAGGTGCATTGTCATGGAGCAAAATTACCTTGCCGTGTCTTCTGGCCCATTCTGGTCGTTTCTCGATCAATGCATGGTTCAAATTGATCATTTGTTGTCCGTAGCGATCAGTATTGACGGTTTCACCAGGTTTTAGGAGCTCGTGGAACACCACACCTTTCTGGTCCCACCAAACACACAGCATTGTCTTCTTGCCGAATCGATCTGGTTTTGCAGTCGATGTTGATGGTTGTCCCGGATTAACCTATGATTTTTTCCGTTTAGGATTCTTAAAATAAATCCATTTTTCATCGCCAGTAACAATCCGATGCAAAACCGATTTTCTTTCGTGTCTTCGAAGCAAAATTTCACAAGTGTTTTTTCGGTTTTCCATCTGTCTTTCATTCAATTCATGTGGCACCCATTTTCCACACTTTTGGATCTTTCCCATAGCTTCTAAACGGTCAGAAATTGTTTGTTGTGCAACATTTAACATTTCTGCCATTTGCTTTTGACTCAAAGTGTCATCTCCATCCAATATCGTTTGCAATTCGGCGTCTTCAAACTTTTTTAGTGGTCTTCCACGTTCTTCATTTCTCACATCAAAATCATTATTTCTGAACCGTTGAAACCATCTTTTGCATGTTGCTTCTGATAGAGCATGATCACCATATGCCTCGACAAGCATTCGATGCAACTCTGCAGCACTTTTCTTCAAATGAAAACAAAAAATTAATGCTTTCCGCAAATCATCACTTTCCGGTACAAAATTCGACATTTTTAACACGATGAAAAAATATGTTGTCTGTTCAATGACTTGATGTATACTAAATATGTTTCACAGATGTCATAGCAAACAAACAAAAAAATAATAAAGGCTCGTTCACAACAAATGTTCCCTATCGAGACATTTGTATCTTGACGCTCACTTCATACCGGTATACCTGGTATAAGAACTAATACTATACTAAGTGCAAGTTTTGTTAAACTAACCAGATCAAAAAATTTTGAAGACACATAATGTTAAAAAAAAAACTTAATTGGTAATTTAACAATAATGAATAAATGTGCTGTAAAATATTTCTTTGTTATTTATGTCTTTATATTCTTTCTTTGTGATATATTTCTATACTTAATCTCAACTTAATTTGTGTTTAGTATAAAATGACTTGTCTTCACCTGGTCAGTTTACTTTAATAAAAGCAACCAACAACTATTTTAAAGATTTCGTACAATTTAACTTTACAACTTTTCTGAAATATTAAAGATAAAATTTTTTAAAGTTCCTAACTTTTTAAAGATTTATGAAATTTAGATTTATTTAGCAATCAAATATTTTTTTTTGTATAGAAGATAAACTATTTTTGATTTGTAGATTATTTATTAACAGACTGTTATTTTATTTTTGCCACATTTTTATTTGTAAAAATCTGTTCATTACCTCAGTAGAAACCAGATTAAAAACCTTTGTGTGAACACACTTCACAATTTTTATTTTATTGAGATAAGTTTACATGCAACTTTTTTGTAATATTAGTTCTCAATTAAAGTGAATTTTTTTCTAGAAGGAAGCTAATTCTATTTTAAAAAAAAAATTGAGTTTTTTCAACATTTGGATTTTTTATTGAAAAAGATACAAGTCTAATTATATCAACATTATCAAGAAAATTTCATTTTTAATAATGATTACAAATTTAGTTTTTTTTACTTCAATTTTTAAATTAAACTTTCACTTTTATTTGTGCCATTTGTTTCACTTTTATTTGTGTCATTTGTTTCACTTTTATTTGTGTCATTTGTTTCACTTTTATTTGTGCCATTTGTTTCACTTTTATTTGTTTATTCTGAAATTTGTTTTTTCTAATATCAAGTTTTTATCTTTTTTATTTGACATATACTAAGACATTTATTTTATTGTAGAAACAAAAATTAATTTCAAATAAAAGCAAAAATATTACACAATAGAAAATTTTATTTGATTATCAAAGCGAGGACTCTTTTTGCATTTTGCATTTGCCTACTTTGATTGCTTTATACTTACAAACTTGCATAACTATTACTATGGTAACTCCAGATTTAACCTACTTGACTACAACTTTCATCTTTTTCTATGACTTTCTTTTTGAATGTACATGGTCTTCACTATCTGAAAAAAGTATGAAATAATATATGACACACTACATAGCCTTCCAGTTTCTTTAGCAAGAGTTCTTATTGGTTATAAGCTCTTTTTAACTTTAGTTTCCCTCAAAATTTTCAAAGCTGACCATAAATCGTTAACTAATAAAGCTGATCAATCATTAACTTATCAAACTAATCAAAGCTGATCAATCGTTAACTAATAAAGCTGATCAATCATAGAGTTGACATACATATTAATAAAATTTGTAAATATCTACATGTAAAATTATGTTGAAATCAAAAACCCACTCAAAATTAAAAATCAGGCAAAATTGATAAAATCATTCGAAAATTAAGGAAATCAAATTATATTCTAAACAAACCTTGTTTATTATTTATGATACAAAAAAATTGCAACACAAGAAATAAGGAGAGTTAAAAAAGTTAATTCTAAAAGTTAAAACAGTATTAGTTTTATCGATTTAAAAACAAACTAGCAAACTGACAACATAAAAAATAATATGTATGACTCTAAAAACTGATTATTTAAAATATAAAAAACAAGTACATAGAAAAATAAAAAAACAAGTACATAGAAAAATAAAAAAATGTGAAATGATATAGGTGATATAAGTAAAAAAAAACATTTGCAATTTTGTAAAAAGCAATTTATGTAGAGGTTAATAATCTCCTTTCAACAATAAACTCCTTTGAACCATATTTCTTATTTTTGAAGAGGCTCAGCAACAGTATCAAATCATCAGAAAAACATTATCACTTAAGCTTTACCCATAATCTACTGCAATACATAGAAATTTACTTAAAACCACATTTTTAAGAGCAAATTTTTTTAGAGCTCTTTTTTTTACAGATAGTAAATATACAACAAAATTATTCAGTATATTTGATTCATAAGTTCATCATAAAATCCTATTTAAACTATTTATAAGTTCATCATAAGTTCCTCTTTATAAAAATAAAGCATTATCAGTGACAACGCTATAACTCATTGTGCAATTAATTATTTTAAAAGTTTTATCTTATATGATTCTCCTTTAACAACATTTGCTTGCTTTTAAATACGTTTATATAAGTCTTTATTCTTAATACATTTTGGTCTAAATAGGTAGAATTCTTTTGTCATCAAAAATATGTTTGATAAAGTCTGGTGTAACATTGAACTCTTAGACAACAAGATTTTATTTATTTGTTTTTAGTTTCTTTTTTAATATTTAAAAAAAAATGTCCATGCATCTACTCTCTGTTTCTAGTAACTCCCAACTTAATAGTGGTTATGCAATAGTTTGCGATAACCACTATTAAGTTGGCAGTTACTAGAAACAGAGAATAGTGTTCCAAGTGCAATCCATTAACAGAAGATTTGAAAAGTTGGAGGTTTTATGAATCAGGAAAAAATGAAAAAGTTTTAAAGCATTTAAAGTGCAAAGAAAAGTGTTTATGATTAACAGATATACCCAATTACTTTTAGTACAACTACGATTTTGACAGATATAATAAAAGAATAAGACTTTGCTGAATGACGAGTCAAGCGAGAATGAGTTTTAGTTGATGGAACTAGTGATGATAACTCATTTGAGCAGCGACCATGATAGTATTTGTAGAAAAGAAAGAGATGCAAATTTATGACAATGGGAAAGAGGCTCAAGCTTAGCAGATAGATTGCATCCAATTACATTTACACTGTACTTTTGGACCTTGCAAAAAGAAAAAGAGCATAATTAGAAAAACCAGCACAAATTTCATACAGAAACAACTAAAAGATTTGTAAAGGTAGAGAATAAAACCAGGAGTGAGATAATGGGAGCACAATAAAGAGAAGCAACCTTAGCAAACGCTAACTTTGCAATCCATTGTATATATGGTTTCCATGAGAGATCAGTGGTAAACATTTATTTATTCATTCATATCTATCTAGTCATCAAAAAATTAAATCAAGTTTTTAAAAATTTTATGGGAATTCACTTCTCAAGAATTAAAAAAGAGTATAAAGTTGATTCACCAGATTTTTAGATGTTTTTCAAGAAGATCAATATAGACTAAATAGAAAAGAAACAATACAAAGCATAGAACCTTGCAGCACGCTAGAAGTGAGACGTAGAAGAGTGTGAGCCTTGCAGCACCCTAGAAGTGACAAGAAGAAGAGTGTGAGCTTTTGAGGATGACTTTAATACTGCAGTTAGAAAGAAATATTTTAATAACCTTAAAAACTTGCCTCTCCGCCATATAATGCAAATCTGTCAA